TCTATGATTCTATGATAATAATAAACAGCAGTGAGGAAGGAAACCTAATCACCTGCTTACCCTTCAGGGAAAAATTACACCAAAAAATAGCACAGAAAATGAGTGTCTGTACCTGATTTTAGGGTAAGAAAGAGAGGGAAATGTGCGAATTTGACTGTAAACTAGTGATAGAAATGGGAAATTAAGTCCTTAACCTTTAGCACGAGTTTCTGTAGTCAATCCAAATGTTACCAGTCATTCTGTTTTATTTTGTTTGGCCTTGTTATTCCAAAAAGAAACAGTGAAAGAGTGCAAATAGACAACATCAGTATGAAATTCAGTGATCCGTATGGATATGGTGTGATCTGGAGCATGAAGGTGAACTCTTACTTGTTGCTTTCCACTTGGACTTTCCTTCTCTAAGAAAAAGCACCTTTGCAAAAGTCTTTTTGCCTTTTTCAAAGGCTGTCGTCAACAGCACTTTTAGACACATTCAATCTGATGCTTTTATCTGACATCTTATATTCCTGGTGGTTGGGTGCTGAACTAGCACTGAATAACCGTGGCAAAGGCACAAGGAGAAATTGGGTGAAGGGCAGCAAGAACATCATGAAGACTTGATTAGGAAGTTGTCTGTGTCCTCTGGGGATCTTTCTGAATTTCCTGTTTTATTTTCATTCTCTAGTTTCTAAGACAGAGTTCAAAATAAGCATGGAAAAAAAAAACCACTATTTCTTGGGATTGGATGTGCTTTTGATGAGTGGAGGAAGGTAGTTTGTACAACAAAACTGCTTCGTTTTTGCTCCGAGTTGCTTGGGATGAAGAGGAGTGCTTGCCAGAAATTGAACTCTCCCCCTTGCCCCCCGTGTTCATACACGCAGTTCCCACAGCTCCTCACGGTGACCTTGCAGTTGGACATGAAATCTCTCTGCTTCAGTAATTTGTTTCACTTACGTTCTGGGAGAACTGGCACCTTGGAAAGAGAGGAGGAGTGGTTTGGTTTTGGATGGATGATGACATCTAACCGAGGTGTACACATTTCTGAAACCTGCTCAGAGACGTTCTTGTCTGGCCTCCCCAGCCCGCCCGCCCCAGACGCGGGAGATGTGCTTCTCGTGCCCCTCTGTCAAGCGCTTTGCAGAGGTGTTACCAATAGTGTTGTTGCGTAGGAAGACTCCAGAAAATCAGAATCTCCAGGAATATTGTTTCTAGCTTACAGTGGGATAATTAGAAGGGGAATAGAGCAATAATTTTCCCATACACATACCGTTCCCCCAGACGGAGCACGAAAGATCTAACGTTTTTGTCCGTTTCTGACATACATCATTTAACTGCTTTCTAAAACACTATACTGACATAAAGCTTTCTCTTGCAATGCTCTTCTAAAACCTTTGCTGTCTTCTCAACCCATATGCTGTAAGAAACTGTTGTCAATAAGTATCTTTAAATATTTCTTGTCTCTAGATGTGTTTCTGTCCTTTATTTCTCCTCTTCCGTTCTCAGCAGGCTGTTCTAGTCCACACAGAGGTGGAATAAGTTGCTTTGCCTTGTGAATAATCTGTTCTGTAACCTTTCCTGAAATCTGTGAAATTGCTAGGCTGTTTAAAGTCCAGCACAGAGTGTTCATCTCTCTTTTATTTTGGTCCGTACCAGGAAATGCCTACAGAGAATGCCTGGGCAATGGGACATGGGCTTCCAAGATAAACTACTCTCAGTGCGAGCCTATTCTGGACGACAAGGTCTGTATTTTTCCCTTTGTTCTTCTCAATGCCATTTCTCAGCATACATGAATGCAAAACTAAACTTAAGGTTAATGTACTAATTTAGGACTTCTGAGACAGATTCCATTTCTGTCTCTGCAACAAATCCTCCCTGTGTATTTAGGAAAATCACGTATCCTCTCTCCATATCCCCTGCTCATATGGTTTGTTTAAATGGATACTTTCTTACGCTCTGTCCCTGATGATGTATGTTTATGCAGATCCTTCCTAGCTTTGTTCAGAGCCTACAGCTGCTACAGTAAATGTTAGTAATAATAACAATAAGACCAAAAGCTTCTTTGGCACTGCAAAATAAGCTCTCACCAGCTGATTCCACCCTCTACCTATCAATTCTCAGGTCTCATCAACAACTGGCCTTTCTGGATCTCAGTGTCGTTTTTCCTTCAGCAAATACATACGGGGGCAGCAGCAGAAAAATACATAAAAAGCAGACTCGGGTCCCAGCTGTCTTTAAAAGATTGGGCCAGTCTGGCATTATATCTGAGTTTACAGAATGAAATTAGCACACAGGGTTAAGCTCCTTCAGAAGGGCTGCAAGCAATTAGGCAAAGTCCCTTTCTTGTCAGATGTTTCAGCTTTTCTTGGCAGCATCACAGACATTCATCTTCACGCAGTTTAAACCTTCGAGCCTTTCATGCCATGTTCTCTTTCTCTTCCTCTGGTTTTGAGTGCTATGGTGGGACACAAGCACACACAAACTTTGTGCTTTCTTTCTACCAGGGGTCGCTTTCCTCTCTAAGAGCCAGGATGGAGGCCAGCAGCTCAGGCCTCTTTAGGTTTTGGGGTTCATTCCACTTATTCTGTCACCAGAGTCATGCCATGCCAGTTGCAAACAGAGGGGAAGAAGGCAAGGTCTCACCTGCTGAGGGCTGCTTGCAGAGCTGAGCAGGATTTAGTGCTTGGGAACTATCTGGACTGGTGCTGTACCCAGAACAGTCATGACAGGCTTTGGCTGTGGCTCAGCATCCATCCTGTAAGATCCATGTTGTTGCTTAATGTGGGCTTTGACAAGCGAGTCAGAAAACAGATAACTACACACCAGCTGCTGAGGAGTTCCCGCTCTTACCCACTGGCTAGGTAATTTGGTGGTAGCCCACCCCACCCCCCCCAGCTCCATTTGCTAGAGGCTTCTAGAAATTAAGGAAAAATGTACCAGTAGATGACTGCCATCCAGAGAGGCTGGTACACATGCCAGGTAGTCTAGCATAGTGGAGGGGCTCCCATGGCAATTTAAGCTGATCTGAGTTGGGACCGCCCCACTGCAGCCGCTCCTTACATTTTTTTACCACTTAAAGTGAAAACCTAACTTTTTTCTGGGTACATTTTCAGATGGATCAGTTCCTTAAATCATCCGATTGCATTTTTGCAGGAGTGCTGGGGCAAGGGGAGTGAGAGTGTGGCTGGAGTTGAGGCGGAGAGCAGACCATGATAGCAGACCATCTCTGACTGGAATGGATTTGCACTTCTGTGAAACCACCCTCTTGAACATGAGTCAGAGGGGGTGTTCGCAGCAGCCAGTGCTGAGTTAGAGAATGGGCAACAGCGCTGGGCAAAGACTCAGAATCTTTGGTGTGGTTTAGCTGGTATTGGAAACCAGAGCTGACAGTAAAATGCTGATGTATTTTAATCACTTTTTATGTGTTTGTCTGCATGGCTTGAACAGTTGCTATCTCTGCACAAGCAAATACAGAGCAGTTTTATTTGAAGAGGCTGAAGAATTGTTGTGACTAGAGGACAGGATTATTTCCTTTACTCTGTTTTTGCTTTTAAAAACTTTGCAGCTATGGTGATAGCTTAAAATTTCTTAAATAGCATGTTCCTTAAACAGCTGAAAGTGCAGATGTTCCGCCACCCTTGTTTGCAAAAGCTTAAAAACTCATTTATTAGATCTTTAAAGATTTGCAACAAGCATTACAAATATTAATATTTGTGAATATTTTTGAAATCTCAACATACTGCTCAGTGTTACAGATGAGTATTTTGTGTTCTTAAAAAAAAAAAAAAGAAAATTCCCCATGGATTTCCCTAATTCTTTTTGATTAAAGGTGAGATGCAAGCACACATGTGGGTCTGTTGTTATTCATTGACTGATCCTAGCAGATGCTGTGCATCAGTCCAGGAGGTACCCCCTGTGTTTCACGTTTATTTTTAAGGCAGAAAGCAACACTGCTTTCAAGCTTGACCACTCACAGCCAGACTGCTAAAGAATTACATAGTTTGACTTTAAATGAAGTGATTGATACATGGGGTAGGAACAGGAGTTTTCAAGATCAGCCCCAAGTCCAGTGCTGCACACTTTATGACAGAATGTTGATAATGTGGCGAAGGAAATTTTAGGGTTTTTCAGCTGGGGGTCGGTCTCAGGGGACGTAAGCTCCTGTAGCAAGCATTCACTGATGGGTTACATGAATACACCATTGCTTTACTCGGGGGTGAGACCCACACAGTAGCTCATGAAACTGTGCTGCGGGACTGCTTTGCTCCTAGATTGTCACTTTGGCTGGGATCTACTTGCCTGCGTGCAATCAGGCAGTGTAGTTTAACATGTGTTGCCACGCGTCTGGCAGCTGTGACACAGGCCTTCGGGAATACCTGTGTCCTTAGCGGAAGCAACTGGAGGTCAGTCACCCGGACCGACTGGGAAGCAGAGTCTCCCGAGGGCACCTCAGTGGCACTAGATGCCTGCGTGTGCATAACTCCTTCTAGCCTGTGCTGCAGATGTTGGGCAGGTACCCAAATGCAGATGCCCCAGTGTCAGACTGAATCCCACCCTCTGAGCGATCAGTTAGCGCCTTCTCCAGGCACAAGAATCAGGTACAGAAATCATTTGGATCCCGTGGGCTGTTTGGTGGCATCATGTGTGACAAATGGAAAACTTCTGCTCAGCCTATAAACTCCAGTGTCAGAGGGACCTTTGCTGCACTTGGCACAAATCTCTGCTCTTGTCAGAAGACAAGTAAGAGTCTTAGGCAGCAAAAAATGCATCTTAGCCTCCAAAAAGAGCTATAAATTAGGAACTTTGGTCTTGTCTCTGTGGCCTTTGGCAGCTGGACATGAATTTAAGTTTTGAGGTGGCTTGGAGCTGTGTAGCTGAGTTAGCACCATGCTGGGCTTGCATTAATGTATCATGCTTAGGAGCACAGTCGCATTAGCCACAGCTACCTGGCTTCCAGCTGGCTCAGAACGGGAAAGCAGTGAACTCAGAGTCATTTTAGATGATGAAGATATTTCCCAGTTGCTTCTGAAAGTCTTTGGAGAGGAGATACGGCCTTTAAACTGCACTGATGATGAGATGAGCCTGGCAGCAGGAAGAAATCTGAAGTGGCTGAACTGGAAATGGAGTCCAGAGCCTTGCAGGAAGACGTGCTGTGAACACTGGCAGGACCCGTCAGAAGTTCTGTTAGAGGGAGAAAGATCCCTGTCACCTGGAGAGCTGAGTGCTGTCATTAGGTGCTTGGTAGTTCAGATCATTAGCTGATGTGGTTTGGAGGTGTTAGCAGTCAGGTCTTAGCTAAAGCAAAGGAAAAAGTCCTCTTGACAGAATCCTTCACCAGCCTGCAGGGAGCCCAGTGTGCCTTAGGTTTGCAGAGCTGGTGCAGGTAAAGAGATAAGGCTGTGCTTCCTCAGTTTACCTGGTAGAAGCTGTCTGGAAGATACTGCACACTGTCGGATGTAACATGCTTGACATGCATAAGGTACAGCATGGAAGAGAACTCCAGTGATGTGACCTGCTGTGGTCCAGAGAGCAAGGCGAGCAGTGCCCAGACCATCTCCTTTTCTACCTCCTTTCTAATGTAAGAAATCCCTCCTCCTAAACCTGAATGGGATTTAAATCTGCATTTAGTGAAGTGAAACGACCTCCTGGATGCAGAGAAATATTGGGTAATAGTAGAAGGTTGTTATGGTTTTAAATGTGTCAGTCTTCAAGAGGGTGAGACAGAATAAGAGTTATGCAAGTATTTTACATGAACTGGGCTTTGGCCAACACTTGACTGATTCTGGGCATGTGTTTTACAGCCCTGAAGGTGTTGTCTCCAATTCTACCAGAGATGCAGATTGCTTGTAGGCTGGTGGAAAGTGATCTTGCCACCCTGTCAGCTTAGTTTTTCATACGCACTGAGGCAGTTCTTGTTTCTATAATATTTGATTTTGCCTTCAGGAAACCTTGTTAGTGTCAGCAACAGAAAAAATAAAAGTCGTGCCTGTTTTTCCTTCAGCATGAAGAGGAGCTTAATTATATTTTTTTCCAACTAATCTTCTCGTGTTTTGAGTCATACCTTCTTAAAACTTGAGTGAAGTTGAAAAAGTTGTTAGGAGCCAAAGGAGAGAGCTGAAGGGTCAGATTCAAAGAGCAGGATCCTTGGCCTGGCAAAAACATTGTCATCTTCTGGAAGACTTCTAGCACTACATGAGCAATTCTGGACAACACTTCTAGTCATATGGTTTAGTTTTAGGTAGTCCTGCATGAACCAGGGAGTTTGACTCGATGAGGCTTTGAGCAACCAGGTCTAGTGGAAGGTGTCCCTGTCCATGGCAGGGGGGTTGGAACTAGATGGTCTTTAAGGTCCCTTCCAACCCAAACCATTCCATGATTCTGTGATCCTTATGGGTCTCTTCCAACTTGAGATATTCTGTGATTCTATGAATTAAGCAGGGAGGTAAATCCGTAAGACAGTTTGCCAGGGCACTAGCTGCACACTGCATTTCAGGTAGGCACGTCAGGTCAGGTGTGCTTTCTTCCCCTTTAGGTGTCCCTGTGGCTGAAGGGTAAATAAAACTCATTGTGGAATTCAGACCTTGTCGCTTTGTGGGTTGTTTTTGTTGTGGTGGGTTTTTTTTTCCTCATGGCTATTCAGAAAATGAGCCTGTGCATGGGGAAGTTTATTTTAGGGGATTTTATAATAGACTTAAAAATACCTTACATGGTTGAGTTCTGTCCAAAAATGGCGCATTACTCTATGTGCTGAAGATACAGGCAGGTTTCATCGTGAAAATGAATCCAGGAGGGCTTTCTCTCTCTCTGGCAAAGTTTTGGAAGATGCTATCTTCACAGAACAATGGAACAGATTAACTACAGCTGCTGGTTGGAGTTTCATCCAAAAATTCATTCACTGACAAATTCCTTTGACTGGAACAAAATGTGAAAGGAAATTGATAGAAAAAAAAATGAAACAAAGGAAATTCAACCGAAATTAGAAAACTGATGCCATTTGTAGGATTCTACTTTTACATTTTTATCACAAGGGAGGAAATTTAGGTGGTTAGTTTTCAAAGGCCTCATTCTTCTGAAAGGGGACAACATCCCAAAGTGCAGAAAGATCTGCTTAACCTAAAAAGAAACAAGTTCCAAAGCTAACAAATAAAAAAACCCTTGTTTTTCAGAGGGATTTATTCTTTAAGTAGCAAACCTCTGTCAAATTTTAACCGGCTTCAGTATTTATCTGAATAGTGGTTTGCTACTTCCTATCCATCAGGCAAAGAGAGGACTTCCTTCTCTTTTCTCTGAATCTAGCAGCAGCCCACCAGTAAAGAATGTTCCAGTTGCTTCAAGGTCAAATTTTGGTCACATCACTAATTTCACTGATTTAGGTGGGCGCACTTCTGTATTTAATTTTTTGCTTACAGGATCAAGAGCCTACTGATAATTTACCCAGCATCCCAGGAAAGAGACATTAAGTTTATATATACAGCAAGTTTCACCACATACTTGAGTTGCTGCTAAAAAGAAGAGGATCACTGCTTGTCAGGGTCTCTCAAAGTGGAAAGGACACCACCAGATTCCAGCTCTTTCCATCTGCATTGGTTCTGCACTCGATTGGAAAGATAAGGATCGTGGCTTGCAAGGAACATGCCTCAGAGAAAAATCTGCCTCTGTGGAAAGGGGTTATTATTTCTGCTTACTGACAACTGATCCATTTCTGTATGAAAACCAACCCATTTGAGTAGGGAAGTCGCATAACCTGGCTCATTAAGACCATGCAGTTTCCTAATAAAATTATGTTTCATAACTTTTGAAACTGTGAGATGTGTCTTTGGTAGCTTTGTCACCCTAAACCAACAAAGTTTTAAATTAGCACAGTAAAGTAAGAAATCCTGAGAAAATCTGAGATTTGTAAGAAACTGTGGTCAAATCCCAAACTGAACTGAAACCAAGCTTGTACTTCTGTGCCTGGGCAGAATGTTGGGTTTATACATAGGCATCAGCCCTGGGGCTATTATATCATTTTAGAGTCCAGAAAAGTAATCACTGTTTCCTAAACTGATTAACTGTTCCTTAATGTCAGTGCTTAGAGAGTCATGCTGATTTAATCATGTTATCTCTTTACCTCCAGAGGAAGTATGCGCTCCATTACAAGATTGCTCTCATCATAAACTACCTGGGGCACTGTATATCAGTAGGGGCCCTTATAGTTGCCTTTATGCTTTTCTTGTGCTTGAGGTGAGTAATCTGTTTGCATGCTTCTAACTTGGTTGGGTGTGTGACACTTACCCAGTTACTCAAGCCCTCTGATAACCCTGACCAGGTCGTGTATGGTCTTGAGAAACGGTCGTGGCTTTTACACTCCCAAGCATGTGCATGGTGTCGTTGACTGATGTGGTGGATGAGCTGTATATTGGTGGCTTCCATGCGTAGGACCTAAAGCCTGTTTGTATTCAGGAGGAGAACTGTACATGAGTTATTGATGCAGCAAAAATTCCAGTGAGCACAGAGAGCTTCTTTAAGGGAAACCGGGATTGATTGACTGTGTCGAGTTGCAGGTTTTGGGGGAAAATTTTCTTTTTTATAAGGCAGTCCATAATAACATAAGGTATTTTGCATTCCCTGACAGACAATGCCCAGATCTAGACCAGAGGAGATAGAATGAAAACTTTCCATTTCGCTTGAGGTTAATTTCAATTTTTCTTCCATGAAAGCACTTAGAAGTTTTCTTGAATAAGAAGAGAAACGTCTTTAGAGGAGCTTTATCCCCACCAGTGCTCATGAAACAACAAATAATCAGTGAAACTGCATAGAAATGCTTCCCTTCCCTGGTTCAGTGGTACCGGAGGGCGTTTGTTAGGTCAAACGGGTATGTCAGTGAACGAAAGAACGTCTGTGAAGAAGGGTTAGGACTACAGGGAGAAGAGAAAGGACGGGAGGGAAGGAAATTTATTGGAAAGTAATAGGTGGATGTTCATCAGTCATCATATGTGTTGTATGTACACAGCCTGTATCACATAAGTATATTTTATTAGGAGTGGCCTGGTTGGCTATTTCTGTATCATTTGTTGGATTATTTGACTGGCATTTCTCTACCCTTTGTGCTGTCTTGTCTAAGGGCATTCACCCCGAACTTAGAACCAACTGCACTAAATGCTGTGCAGTGATAATCCTTGAGAAAAATCTTACACTAGCAGCAGAGGAGAAACAGATGGAGGACCCCCAGGATTACAACATCATAATTGGCCGTGACTTAGGTGGAAGAATTACTGCTTCCCAGAGTGGAGCATCCCTAGGAAGTTATGCTAAGTCTCCCTCCTGAGCATTGCTAACAAGAGGGTCGCTCTTATTAACAAGAAGAATCTTCTTTCACCCCAGCATCTATAAACAGAACAATCTATGTCCATGGAAAGGAAAAAAAAGCTTAAAACTCTCATTCGGAACATTTATGGTGCATTGGTCTAAACTTCCATTTCAACCTTTTTACTGTGCATATAATGTGAATTCCCATCGTGCTTGGAGACCTGAATTGATTTACACTGAATAAAGAATACAAATTATTCATTGTAGCTATATTCCCTGCTTCGATGCTGAATCTTTTATAAAGGCTTCAGTAAATAGCACAAAAACAATTAGATAATATGGTATAAATGTATCCAGCTTCCAACACAGAAATGCTGATCTATTTTAAATTGTTTTTCTGGTATTTAAACTTTGACTTTAAGATTTAAATTTTGCAGTCAGCTTCAGCATTAAAAATGACTGCAGCAATTAAGTACTTCCCTCTACCTGCTGTGAATTAAGATGGTCCCTCTTTTCAAATTCCCACTTTATCATGCAAAAATGTACTGTCCAGCCAGCGTTAACCAGCAGGAGCTACCTCAGTGTCTGTAGAGTTACACCTGTTTCCTAAAGTCTGAGAGATGCTCCAGTGAAGGCAGCAGATTGGTATTGCATTACAGCTTTCTCCTACACAAGTTCTAGTTTATGCACATCTTTATCACACTTACCTCTTCAAAGTGTTCCAGGAGCAAATCGGTTGTAATAACTGAGTCTTATTATTTAGGGTTTTTTTTTCCTATTTTAGTTTGAATGGAAGAATGCATCCACTAGTGGGTTAAAATGAGAGATTTTAGATAATTCCTAAATAAAAAAACAATAGAAGATCCTGAAGGCTAGATCTGATAGTCCCAAATCTTGGCCCAAGTAGAAATCTATCAATTCCTTTGTTCCTGCTCCACTGTACCCATCTACCTCACTCCATGAGTGCCTGCAGAAAGTGAAGATAGAAACCTCCAAGAAGTCTCAAGTTCTATAACTGGTCCATATTTTTATGCTTCTCACCCGTCACCTGCTTGATGTTCCTTAGCTCTGTCAGTGCAGATGGAGTCCCAAAGGCAGTCGTGTCTGAAGAAGAGACTGGAGCACACCAGCTGCATTGGGATATAACTGCTAGGAAGGCTGTGGGATCTCTCACACTGGAGGTTTTAAGATCAGGTTAAAGATCTGGTTGGCATGGCAAAGAGTATTGTTTTGATGATCAACTAGTGAGATGGCTCTTCTGCTTTTGGAGATGAACTTCACCGTTACTGTTGCTGCCCCAGCCCAGGTGGCTGCTGCATTGCTGGGAAGGTTAGTCCTCCGTTGTGCTGAAGTGGGAAAGGGAAAGGACTGGATCTAGTCCCTGTTCTTCCAAATCTATCCTATGTCATCTTGCCCCCAGTGCCTGTCTTCCTCAGTTTCTTGTGCAACCTTCTGTCCTCTACTCACAACCCACCCTCCACGCCAGTAGAAATGTTCTACTGTCCTAAACTCTAAGGAAACCTACACCAAAAGATATTTTGAGGGTTGGAAGGCTCACATGTAGCAGCAAATAATGAAATCATCTTCCATCTGCGTTTGTGCTGCCAGGAGACCCCAACACAACTGAGAAGGGAGGAGAACTCAGCCAGGATCTCTCTTTTACTTCAAAGACCTATTCCAGCCTTGTTTTCTCCAGTTCTGTCACATATGAACCAATCCTTCTTTCTTGGCTGCACAATGAAAAATAAGCCAGTAAACATTTCACTTAGCACCTATATAATAAAAAGGGAAGCCCAGTTTATGGGAGAGGGTTTGATTTTTGTTGGCATGCTGACTGAATGGCAATGAGTCACTGAGGTAACTCCTAAACATCTAAGTCAAGGATGCTCCCTCAAGGTCTAAATGTAGGTGGTCTTAAAACTCTGAGAGCCCTGCTGTCTTTACAATGCAAAACAAAACAAGTGTTTTGTAATGGGTTTAAATTGAAAATGAGGAGGTTTAGACTAGGTATCAAGACGAAGTTCTTCACGGGGAGGGTAGTGAAGCACTGGAACAAGTTTCCCAGAGAAGCTGTGGATGCCCCATCCCTGGATGTCTTCAAGGCCAGGCTGGATGAGGCTTGGAGCAACCTGGTCTAGTGGAAGGTGTCCCTGCCCATGGCAGGGGGTTGGAACTAGATGATCTTTAAGGTCCCTTCTAACCCTAACCATTCTGTGATTCTATGATTCTATAAGCACACAAACAGAAAGAAATATACTGGGAAGGAAACCTGAGGAATTTGTGCATAGACCAAATGTGCCATAGAGCTGCACTGATCTCCAGTGTGGGATCTGTAGAGTTTTGCTCAGGGCGCTTCACGGGGCATTGTTAAATGTATCTGTACTGCTAGGGATCTCATAGTCTGTGTGTTCTCATTAATGGTGAAGGCTTGATCCATCTGTCAGGCGCACGCAGGCAGTTCCTGCT